TCTTGAAAGAATCGTAGGGATTATTATTGTTCATGTTTGCAAAAAACTTATCTAAATATGTTATTATTCATAAAGTTTGCAAGGAATTATTTGAATAATGCCAGGTTATACAATTAAAGGATTAGATAATCTGTTAGATAGATTAATGGAAAAAATAGAAAATATTTATTCTCAATTAGAGATTATGGATATATTATCGAAGGAATTTGATAATCTTAGTAAATTACATGACAATTATATTACAGATTATGCTAATTTATTAGATCAAAGGATGAAATTATATATTAAAACTCGAAATGAGAGAAATAGAGGAATTTAAAACTATTCCAATAAATTAAGGATATCTTGTTCAATATATGATAAATTATTTCATTAAGGGTATAATGGACATTTTATCAAAAATGAATAGTAGCAGGTCATTTATAATAATGCCCCCATTTCTAACTCCCAACTGTACATTACGAGGTCTATTTAAGAGTTCATTTTTTTCGTGTAATGATGTAACGTGAATGACAACAAAGTTCACGAGAATAAGGTCGTTTTATGAATAGTCATTGCGTTGTGCTTAAGAAAAATAAGGCTATGTTTGATCGATTTTGTTAGTGGTATATCGGGATGTACTTAACGGTGTACACTTCACTCACATGGACGAGGAATTTACTCAAATAAAATATCATTTCTTTCACACGGGTTCCACACCCATGTAAGTGGTGTGTACACCATTCGATACACCCCATTATGTACCACTAGACAAATTCCTATTTAATTGCACTAGTTTTTTTATAGAAGTATGAAATAAAATTCTATTTTTCACCTTTTTACATGTTTGATTGGCCAAATTTTCTTGACAACACTTCATTTTCCACTTTTTTCCATCTTTTTGAAGAATTGGTTTTCTCATGGGTTTTGTGGGTTTTTTTTTTTTTTTTTTTGAAGTAAATTCTATCCATTTACTTGATAATTTTCATGGAAAACTGAGATAAACGAATACCAAAAGATCCAAAATTGCAATATTTTCTAGGTAGAAAATTATATTAATCAAATACATTTAATTGACAATTTTCAATAACACAAATTCTAGACAATTCAATTCATCGAAATTCGTTTTCTTTTCATTCAAATTTCATTCTTGCAATCAAACGGACCTTAAGTTCAATATACATGTCAAGAGGATGTATCAAATAAATAAATAAATAAATAAGCTTGTTCTTTTCGAACGCACAAAGAGTTTTAAATTTCGATGTCCCTAATCTTGCTCTACGATCGCCCACTCCATTTTGGAAATCATTTCATTTTTTGTCTTTTCAATTAGCTGTCAATATCGTCCCACTAATAGAAGAAGAAAAGAGAAGTATTTTCTCTCAATAACGTCTCACAAATTGAAGAAGAAAAGAGAAGAATCGGAGCGGAGCGGCAAGGAAAAATTAAAATTTCATTTGGAGGAAATTGGATTAATACAATATTATTGAATTTAGGTTTAATATTGTTAACCAAAAGTAGGTTGGCTTCATTTTTTTATTTATTTTTTAGTATTATTATTATTTTTTTATTTCTCTTTTGGTTAACCACCCATTCTTATTTGTCATCAATATTATTTTTCTCTTTTTTTATTTTCAACCACACATTATTCAATAACGTCTCACAAATTGATGAAGAAAAGAGAAGAATCGGAGCGGAGCGGCAAGGAAATTGGATTAATACAATATTATTGAATTTAGGTTTAATATAGTTAACCAAAAGTAGGTTGGTTTCATTTTTATTTTTATTTATTTTTATTTCTCTTTTGGTTAACCACACATTCTTATTTGTCATCAATATTATTTTTCTCTTTTTTCATTTTCAACCACACATTATTCAATAAAATAATATTACACGTAAATCCAAAATTTTTATTTACTTTTTAATGACATATTCTCCAAAAAATTACTATTCTAAAATATATTTTTTTTTTCCAAAACATCATTAAGATGGAGCACAAACAAGGTTTTAAGAGAGTAGAGTTATTTCACAAAGTTATCTTTTGAAAAAGATGTCACCATATTCCCCTTCGTTTCTGGTATAAACATTGTTTTCATTAGTTTTTATGGTACAAAACCTCCTTTCGAGTGACATACCCTTTTGGAGCAATTAAAGTATTTCCAATGCGACAATGTGCATTATTGTGCCAATAATAAGCAAAATGGGAATGGATATAAGATTGTCCAATGAAGACGTGGATTGCATTCATTGTGTATCTCATGTATCTCATGTAAGAGAAAGAGGAAGTGAAGAAAGAGTGAAGATAAATTATGAAAAAATAATAATAATAATAAATGGCACATCTTCCCATTAAAACAAGTTATAGAAAATTAAGTGGAGTATGTCTTCCTTTCCATGTGAGCATTTTGAGGTGATATGGCACACTTTTTAGTGTAATCCACATTCTCATTAGAGATGCTCTTAGAATTTAAAACGTTAGGAATTAAGGATCAAAAAACTATGGGGCATAGGCCACCTAAAAGGTGATGGACGTGTGCAATAGTTTCCTCGAGCCAAACGAAAACTTGCTTTCAATCATGGGCAGAGATCTAGGGTTGGGTTGGGCTGGGCTATAGCCAATCCCTTCAGTCCAAATGTTAATTAAAAAAATTTAAGTAATTTTTTTTTTTTTTTGTATTTTTTTTTTCTTTTACGTA